TTAGCGATGATAAGGCTTCCCAATAAGAAAGATTTGCATAATAGTTTTTGCAAAACTTAGCGATGATAAGGCTTCCCAATAAGAAAGATTTGCATAATAGTTTTTGCAAAACTTAGCGATGATAAGGCTTCCCAATAAGAAAGATTTGCATAATAGTTTTTGCAAAACTTAGCGATGATAAGGCTTCCCAATAAGAAAGATTTGCATAATAGTTTTTGCAAAACTTAGCGATGATAAGGCTTCCCAATAAGAAAGATTTGCATAATAGTTTTTGCAAAACTTAGCGATGATAAGGCTTCCCAATAAGAAAGATTTGCATAATAGTTTTTGCAAAACTTAGCGATGATAAGGCTTCCCAATAAGAAAGATTTGCATAATAGTTTTTGCAAAACTTAGCGATGATAAGGCTTCCCAATAAGAAAGATTTGCATAATAGTTTTTGCAAAACTTAGCGATGATAAGGCTTCCCAATAAGAAAGATTTGCATAATAGTTTTTGCAAAACTTAGCGATGATAAGGCTTCCCAATAAGAAAGATTTGCATAATAGTTTTTGCAAAACTTAGCGATGATAAGGCTTCCCAATAAGAAAGATTTGCATAATAGTTTTTGCAAAACTTAGCGATGATAAGGCTTCCCAATAAGAAAGATTTGCATAATAGTTTTTGCAAAACTTAGCGATGATAAGGCTTCCCAATAAGAAAGATTTGCATAATAGTTTTTGCAAAACTTAGCGATGATAAGGCTTCCCAATAAGAAAGATTTGCATAATAGTTTTTGCAAAACTTAGCGATGATAAGGCTTCCCAATAAGAAAGATTTGCATAATAGTTTTTGCAAAACTTAGCGATGATAAGGCTTCCCAATAAGAAAGATTTGCATAATAGTTTTTTTTATAAAACTTGGGATCGCTAAGTTTTGCAAAAACTATTATGCAAATCTTTCTTATTGGGAAGCCTTATTAATTCCTTCGAAATTAAAAAAAAAATCCTAGAAAAATTTTTATTTTACCAATTACAATTTTTAAATTAAAAATTAATATTAGAATAAATAGAATGCACAAACAGAAATTGAAAATAAAATTATGGATATGTACATATTTATATATTGCGGGATGAAAATTAGTAGTTAAACCAACGTATAAGTCGCGGGGGCAGCGGGGTCCAACCATTTAGCCCCTCCCCCTTAATTAAACGGTCATTCAACCATTCCGTCGTCAGAGTCCAAGGAGTTTCCAAATGGTTTAAGGGGTAATTTGATCAAACCGGTTTAATTTTGAACTGTTTACTGAAAAACACCTTTCCAAACCATTCCTCTTATTCTTCACAAAACATTTAAAAAACACCTTCGATCACTCTTCTATATTTTCTATTCATTTTCTCTTTTTTACCCTTAATTTTGAAAAAAATACAAAAATTTATTAAAAATAAAAATTATTACAAAAAAAAGCAGTCATGCGAAAATTGTTGCAAAAATTATTGTTGAAAATAATAATTATTATTGAATAGGTCATGCAAAAATTATTTTGCAAAATTATTGTTAGATAGGTAAAAATTTATAAAAATAAAATAAAAAGTAGTTAAACCAACACCAATGTTGGTTAAAGTTAACCTAAAGGTTTAAAGATCCTCAAAAGGTTTGGAGTACTTTGATCAAACCGGTTTAAGGGGTAAAAAATTTAAATAATTAGAAAGTCCTTTCCAATACTTTTTACACCATTCAAGAGGTTACCAAAGGGTCCAGGAGTCACATTTGAACCGGTACTTTTTAAAATAATTATAAAAACACTTCGCCAGAGTATTCCTCTCTTCCCACAAACTCTTGGAAAATTGACATACCGAAAGTTGTCAAGTTGACATTTTGACATATGTCAGTTGACATATGTCATTTTTGGAATTTTTATCAGTTTGATGAGATAAATCATACCAAAGTGGTTTCAATCTTAAATCGAGCTCAAAACTCGAGTTCTGGGCCTTGGAAACCGAAATTTTTCCAAGTATAGGTATATGGGTACTTTTTCTGACCGACTCGACGAGCTGAGTCGTATCATTCTCAGGAGATTTTGAAAGGAAATGGTATAAAAAGACCCCAATTTCATGTAATCTTTAATCAAAATGTTCATATTATTTTTATTATTTCCCCTTTCTTCCTCTTCAAACTTATCTCTAGTAGATGATCCCAGATGGCAAGATATGTGGAAACAGGAACCCTGTAGATGCCCAAAATACTTATTGAATCTTCCTTTTAACATTACGGGACCTATACCAGGAAGGTGTGAGTGCCCAATACACCTATTAAAAGCATCCAGGGCGAATGCGGAAGACTTTGAATTTTATAGGTTAACACCATTTCGCCACTATGGTATAAAGAGATACAATGACAGTTTACAATTAGACTTGAACTTAAATCGAACTATTGCAACATCCCCTCATGTATTAAATTACTCTACCAGTTTTAATTATCTAATATATTCAAAATGGTGGTTTATTCCATACTTGTTTAGTTTTGTATAGAGAAATTTTTTTACTTCACGTCAAATATTCCCAAGTTAGTATAGACGGAGACATAAGGCCGAGAAATTAATTTAAAAATGAAGTACCCAAAATTATTACCTGAGGTTGACTTTAACATTTCATCGACTGGGATTACAATTTCCAGTGTCCGTTATACAACACCCCGTTTTCTTCCTTATGACCAAGGAGGGAAGTGCCGTAAGTGTAAGAGCACGGAAGTTGAACTAGATTTTATAATAGTAAAGGAAGGGGTTGTAGTCTATTGCACCCGATTTGATGGAAGCAGATTTGTTCCTTTTGATTTATTATATGATTTACCAGGGCATTGCTTCTTCAAAGTAAAGAATAAAGGTCGAGTTTTTAATGTACCATACAATGCTTCTACAGAGATTCCCAAAACTGAACCAATTGAACCACAAATTCTCCCCACAATTCCTGAAGAAGTGACACAGACACCCCAACCCTTGGATACACTTCCTTCAAAAGAGGAGTTGGATGATTTCTTTCAGAGTTTAGATGCAACGGTGACAGGAATACCAACCGATTAAAAAGATATTTAAGTGAAATTTTCTTTAATAAATTATTCATTATGAATTCCTTAGCTTTCTCGAATAAAGATTTAAAATTTAAATTACCTTTTGGAATGATTATATCTGGTCCTAGTTCTAGTGGAAAGAGTACTCTGTTATTAAAATTTATTTCTGAAGCTTCAGACCTAATTGAGCCTAAACCAAAGTCCATACTTTATTGCTTTGGTGAGATGAACAATATTGTACCTCTTTTGCAAAAATCTGGAGTTGATGTATTTGCAGGAGTTCCACCTGAGGATTTGATTAAAAAATATCCCAAACCACTATTGCTAATTCTCGATGATCTAATTCTTTCTGTTGACGAAAAATATTTATCTGAATTATTCACCAAAAAATCACACCATCAAAATTTTTCTGTAATTTTTGTCACACAAAATTTATTCGATAAGAAAATTAAAGTAGCACGACAAAATTCTCAATATCTTGTGTTGATGAGATCACCAAATTCAATGCTATCTATCAGAAACATAGGTGTACAATTATTTCCCAAACAATTGGATTATTTTCTTGATTCCTATCGACAGGCAACCAAACAACCTTTTGGTTACTTACTCGTCGATATGCATGCTTCTTCTGATCCTACCCTCCGTCTTAGGACCAACATATTTAAGGAAGACGATGAAAAGATAATTTTTATTCCTATAAACGGAAATGGTTAATCAATTAATTCATGAAAACTTAAAATTTTTACATTTATTGTCAAAGACTAAATCTAAAAGAAAAAGGAAAAGACTTTTAAAATTATCAAATAATGAACAACTTTTAGCTTTAGCTGAAATTTGTTTGAACATAGTAAAAGAGAGGTTCAAACTTACAACTCGCCAAAAGAAAAGATTGTTACCTCATGCTGAATTTGTGCGAAGTATGAGTAGAGTCAGGAGTGAACGCGGCGCCAGACATGTTATTAATCAAAAAGGCGACGGAGTAGGAGTTTTTGCAGCTCTTTTGACACCTGTGCTCATCGAAATGGCAAGGATGATGACTATAAAAGCCCCTGCTACATCTCAATTTAAAATTAATTATGGCAAATAAATTTATTTTAGTTCCAGAAGAAATTTACAAGGGTTTAACAACCTATGATACAGGTGAACCAAACTTGGATTTTGTACGTCAAGGTCTTGAGAAAACAAAATTGAAAAGAGAAACACCTAGTGCAAAAAATGTGCACTATAATCAAGAGCTTAGACGATATTTGCAATTACGAAACGAACACCAAAATAGACCAGTTAAGGTAGAGATGGTTGCTAGTCCAAAAGGTGCAATTATGAATACTACCGCTTCTCTTCCAGCTTCAAATATTGGGGAAGACGACGATAATATGTGGATGAGTGAAGATATGTCATTTAGTTCATATCCAAAAGAAACGCCATCTTATAATATTATACCACCTATCCTACCTGACATTAAACCAACAATTACATTGAAACCTAAAACTAAAAAACCAACTATTCCTAACTATTACAAACCTTCTAAAAGAAAGCAAGTCGAAGAGATTGGAACGGACAAAAGAAGACATTTAATAGATGAAAGTTATGGAACTAAACCTATTAAAAAAGAAAACGTTGAAGATGGGGAGGATAATAGAAAAAGGGAAAAGAAAAGACAATATCTAGAAAGGAAAAAGGCTATCAGGGAGCAAAAGATACCTTACACCCCGCAATACTATAAAGAGGTCTCATTTGTTCCACCACCGCCAAATCCCCAAGGTACAAAAAGGTCGCAATCTATTAATATCGAAGAAGGTAAAAGAAAGAAAATTGATGAGTTGGAGCGGAAAAAAGCAGAATTAAGAAGAATAAAAGATGATCAACGTCTGGAAAATATTAGGAAAAAACAAAAAGAAAGGGAATTAAAAAGAAGGGATATAAGAAAACTAAAAATCCCTCTAGACCAATCAGCAATGCTAAAGGCTCGACAAGAAGATGACGTACGTAGACGTCAAAAGTTAAAACGAAAATGGCAAGGCCCAGACGAAAGCCCCTTAATTGCTCTGAAAAAAGTCAAGCCTGTTACGAAAAAACAATCAGCAAGAGCAGGCAGAGAATGGATGCTAAGGCTTATAAAAGCTAAACGCAATGAAGCAAATAATAAAACATTTAAACCTTCATTGTGGTAAAGATGGGTGATTATACTAAACTTTTACAAGATTTATACAATAATCCAGAGTCTCCCGCCGCCTTTTCAGGTGTGGATAGACTATGGAAGGAGGCTAGAAAAGTACTGAAACATATACCTAAAAATGTTGTCCAAGATTATTTAGAAGGACACAGGACTTATACTTTGATGCGTCCGAAACGTATTCATTTTAACAGAGCATTGACTATACCTGCAGGTTTTATGACTGATGTTCAAGTTGATTTGGCAGATTTTCAAGCAATCTCAAGACACAACAAAGGAAATAAATATTTACTTTTAGGAATTGATGTTTTATCTAAAAGAATATTTGGTGTACCAGTAAAATCAAAAACTGCAGAAAATATGGTCACAGCGTTCGCTGAGTTAATGAAACAAATGCCCATGAAACCACACCGTATATTTTCGGATAAGGGAAAAGAATTTAAAAATTCTCAAATGAACGAATTTTTTCAAAAAGAAGAAATTCACAAGATGGAACCAACTCACTCAGAAGTAAAAGCCTCACTAGCTGAAAGGGCTATTAGACATATTAAGCAACGTATTTATCGCTATTTTGCCCAAAATAAGACTTTAGACTGGATTCAAGTCCTCCCTGAAATTTTGAAAGGAATAAATAAAGCAAAAAGTAGAGTACATGGAATGAGACCTGTAGATGTTAATTTTGACAATGCTCAAGAGGTATGGGAGAAGATATATGGCGATGTGTTTTCAATTAAAAAGACAAAACCAAAACTCGAGAAAGGAGACTATGTTCGAATGAGTCTAGGAAAAGGAGTGTTTGAGAAGGGTTACATTCCAAACTGGGGAGATGAAATACTTCAAGTCGAGAATGTTAAAAAACATGTTCACCCAATTCGATACAAAGTTCAAGATGATAAGGGTGAGAAGTTCAAAGGATCATTCTATGGAGAGGAATTAGCTCGCGTTCGTAAGGATGCTGATACTGAATATAGGATAGAGAAGGTTATAAGAAAGAAGAAGAGATCAGACGGGACTTACGATCTTTTAGTAAAGTTTATAGGTTATCCTGAAAGAGAATGGATTCATGAGACACAACTAGTATAAAAAGCATATTTAATTGTTTTTATTTCATTTTGATAAAAATGTCAAATACTTTCTTTGTTTTTCTTCCTAGTAATGTTTCCGATTATCCAGATAATAGACCAAATAAATTCCGAGTCCATTTACCAAGACCTCTATACTTTTCTGGAGACTGGGTTTGTGGTTTGCACAGCATAAGTTATCCATATTCATGGCCTTCAACTATTGGTACTCTTGACGAACAATGGATTGACATTCATTTTACTAAAAATGATGGGAGGGCTAGTATTATTCGTGTACCAGTTCCTAAAGGTTCACACACGACTGTGGAAGATTTACATCAATTTTTGTTATCTACTTTAGATCACCAAGCTGGAGCTATAGAAGGATCATCCTTGGAAAAACCTGAGACGTTAGTAAAACCTCCAAGTGTCCGCAGACCTAAACGAAGTGTATCTCCTGAAGGGGAACTTAAAATGCCAACTCGTTCATCATCGGCCGAAGAAGAAGAACCACCTAATAAAAAACCTTCTGTTGAAAGAGAACTTAAAGCAGCTTCACGCTCTTCTTCTGAAGAAGGAGAACCTAGACGCCCAGCCCTTTCATCCTCTGCAGAAAGGGAACTAGAGTCTTCACCTCGTAGTACATCTCCTAAACTTACTAAAATAACTCCAAAACCTACACCACAACCCACTCCACAACCTATACCTCAGCCAACTCCTCAACCTCCAAAACCAACACCACAACCCACTCAACAACCTATACCTCACACAACTCCTCAGCCTCCAAAACCTGCACCACAGCCTCCAAAACCTACACCACAACCCCCAAAACCAACTCCTCAACCTCCAAAACCCACTCCACCTCAACCCACACCACAGCCTCCAAAACCTTCACCACCACCTCCAAAACCTACACCTCAACCCCCAAAACCCACTACACCTCAACCCACACCACAGCCTCCAAAACCCACTCCTCAACCTCCAAAACCAACACCACAACCCACTCCACAACCTATACCTCACCCAACTCCTCAACCCAAACCTACACCATCACCTCCAAAGCCTACTCCACCTCAACCGCCAAAACCTTCACCACCACCTCCAAAACCTACACCGCAACCTCCACAACCCCCAAAACCAGCTTCACAACCTCAGCCACAAACATCACTACATCCTCCAAAGCCCACTCCACAACCTCCGCCACAACCTCCAAAACCTTCACCCCAACCTCCAAAACCCACTCCACCTCAACCCACACCACAACCTCCAAAACCCACTCCACCTCAACCCACACCACAACTCCCAAAACCTCCACCACAACCCCCAAAACCTACACCTCAACCTCCAAAACCCACCCCACCTCAACCCACACCTCAACCTCCAAAACCTACACCACAACCTCCAAAACCTGCACCACCTCAACCTCAACCCAAACCTACACCTCAACCCAAACCTACACCCCCAAAACCAACTCCTCAATCTACTACTCCTCAACTTCCAACGAAACTCACTCAACTAAAATCAACACAACTTTCTTTACCCGTCTCTCTACCTTTGACACAAGATAGCGAAGAAGAATTGAGAGATGCATCTCCCTCATCATCAGCTGAAAGACAATCCTTACCGAGTTCGCCTACACTTCCACAACTCCCAAAGCCTGAAGCTACATTTAGTGATCCTTTATGGACTGAAGAATATGAACGAGTGCTTACACATGTACTTGCAAATCTTGGACAGAAAGTAACACCTCAGACAAGAATAAATTATCTTCCAAATATGCCTATCCTTGTAAGAAAATATGGTAAAGTAGGCAAGGTAGACTCGACAACACAAAAACAAATTATAGATTCAATAGAATTATTTTATCATAGCGACTTTGAACGATTTAAAGTCTCATTCACACACCCAAGCATCAAATATGTTTCTTTTTCAAATCAATTAGGTTATGTATTAGGCTTTCAAAATCCAAATATGGTTCAAAATAATGAAATTGCCAAATATGGTTGTGATCTAAGAGGAGGTTTCTCAAGCTTCGCTGTATATTCAAGAGGTCTTACAGAAAGTATGATCATAGGCAATTCACTTAGTTCACTCCTAAGAGTTGTTTCTGTGGCTGGAGCCACCCCAGGACAATATTATGAGAAAATATATGATTCACCAATTTATGCAAGAGTATTACCTAAAGAGGTAAATGAGATTGAGATTGAACTCAGAACGATGGATAACGGTCGACCTGTACCATTTGAATTTGGTACAGTGCTGATCGTCTTGATATTTAAGAAGGTGATAAACTTCTGATTTTTTCATTCATGATTAAAAATGGTGCACATTTTATTTGATACTAGTACTGTAAGCTATGATGACTTTATTCCAATGAAGGGAGGAGGAATTACAGATGACTATTTTAAGGGTACAGCTCCTTTTCAAAGAGGATATGGGCAGAAAGGAGCTGGAATTGGAGATGTTATGAGAGGACTTTGGAGATTTTTTCTACCGATTATGCGACGTGTAGGCACGACTGTCTCAGAGGAGGCACTAAATACAGGTCAACGTGCATTGGGAAGGGTAATCCAAGGAGAACCTATAAAAGAAGCTTTAGTCAGTGAAGGAAAGAAGGGAATTGATACAGTGCTTGAAAAAGGAGGTTTACCTAAACAATTTGGATCAGGAAGGGGTATAAAAAGAAAGACAATTCCTAGTCATCAAACAGTTATTAAAAGAAAAAGATTAAAATCTGACGCTTTTGGTTTTTATTAAGAATGAGTTTCCATAAAATTGATAAAGATAGTATTAATTCTATTACAAATGCTCTTGATTTTTTCCAAGTCCCACCAACAAATGTGAGCATTTCTTCATCCAAGGTCTTTGAAATTTTACCAAGTAATCCTCTCACTGATACACCATATCATTTTAAAATTCATAGTAGTCAAAATTATATTGATCTATCTAAAATTTATTTATTTACTGAATTTCGTATAAAAAAGGAGGGCGATGATGGAAGATTGGTCAAACTCGCTGCAACTGATAATGTTGCGCCTATACAACTAATAGGTCAAACATTTATAAATAATATGCGAATTAATGTAAATGGTAGGGAAATATTTAATTCAAACTCGCTCTATGCCTACAAGACTTATTTTTCACACGAACTTTCTTATTCTCAAGGGGCAAAAAATTCCCATTTGAACGCTGCAGGATATTATTATGATTCTGACATAAAACTTGAGGATGGCACAGCGTATAATGCAAGAAAAATTTTATTTTCTTCAAGTAAAACGGCACAATTCATTTCGAAACTTGATGCGGATATATTCAACCAACCTCTCTATCTAATAAATCATTGTGAAATCGATATTGAATTACTTCCTAATGACACGAAATTTGTATTGATTGCTCCTCCAGTACTTGGGATTGACCAACCAATTACCTATAATTTTGAAGTTGTAAGCTGTAAGCTATACGTCAAAAAGGTTGATCTTATGGATGGACTCTCTCTAGATATTGCCAGAAAACTTGAAACTAAACCTGCAAGATATTCAATAAGAAAAACGATGATGAAACCGCTTTTCATAAGTCAGGGTAGATATGAATTTAATGCAAACTTGTTCATGGATCAAATTCCTAGAAGAATTACATTAGGTCTAGTTGCAAACTCTGATTATGTTGGATCGATAAATCGAAGCCCTTTCAACTTTCAACATTTTAATGTTAGAGAAATTAGTATTATAGCAAATGGAAGACCATACCCTCAGGCATCTTATGACTTTGATTATAAGAATGGAAGATATGTAAGAGCCTTTCACGACATGAATGAGGCTACAGGCCTGACAAATACCTCTGAAAATAATGGAATTACTTACCAACAGTTTGGAAAAACTCACTGCATTTATGTTTTTAATCTTACAAATAGTGGAGATGATAATAGCGGAACATTTGATTTAATAAAAAATGGGACTACAGCCATAAACATCAAATTCAGTCAGCCTGTCCCCGAGGGCGGGGTCATGCTCGTTGTTATGGGCGAAGCGGATTCCCTTATAATGCTAGATAAAAATCGGACAATAGCAAGTGACACCACCATTTGAATAAATGAAAGGAATTTTAGTAACTTTATTTTTGATTCGGATATTTGCTCCGTGTGTAGGACTATATAAAGAAGCTATGGATGAATTAGAGGAGATCCCTGAGTATTCAGCCTATCTACGTCAATTAGGATTTCCACAAAAAAATACAACCCAGCCAAGAATATCCGCTTCCATACCAGCCTTTGCAACCTTCCCATTTGAAAATCTACCTACTCTTTGTAAAGAAAACCCTACGGACTTGTATGGCCACGTGTTTTGCTGGGGAATGATAGGACTATATATTATGTTAATAGGAAGCTTAATTATTTATCAACTTCGTTCAATTTTTTGGTTAAAAACTTATAAAAATAATGGACAGCAATCAGATAACAAAAATATTGAGCTCAAATCCCTACACAAACAAAATCTTCCAAGGATGCTTTCCGTGTAACAATCTACCCAAACCTGTAGAAGGCAAAGCCTTAATTGTAAACTTGGACCCTAAAGGATTTGCAGGTTCACATTGGATTACAATTTACGTTCAAGGAAATGAACAAGTAGTCTATTTTGACAGTTTAAATTTACCCACAAGCATTTGTATTATTAATTCATTTTTAAAAGATTTTTTAATTGTTAATAGAAACCTAAAACCATACCAATCCTTAAATTCTAATTATTGTGCCCACCATTGTATTTCTCTTATTTATTTCATTTCTAAAGGTTATACATTTCCCCAATATCTTAAAATGTTAAACAATATTCATAATCCAGATTTATTTGTAAAAAATATTGTGAATAAAATTATAAATTATCGAGATAGTTTTTGGTAATATCAGCACATTCTGGACAAAGATAAAAAGCGTATGAAAAGGATTTTTCATCCTTGGGTATCATTATATCATCTTGAAATTGGCTCACGACAAAGCTAAGGCAGTCATCACACCATTTTCCTGCGCGAAAGTAATTGATAAGGATGCAAAGCCTTGCTCCCATATCAAGTTGAATGTGTTGTTTTAGAGCATCATTGATTGAATGCACATAGGTTCTTATTTTAAATTCACGATACTCGCGCACACCCTTAACATACTTTATGATTTCGTCACTTTCTTCACTCATGAATGATTTTTATTTTTATGTGGAATTTATCAAATTAGGTCGCAATTGAATAAAAATAAAATTAAGCCACGCCCTATTTAGATGAATATATAAACTCAGAAAAATTTCATTTTTCAAACATTCACAATGGTTCTTGTCATAGATGAAATTGCACGTTTTCTCGACTGTTCAGTCCGAAGTCTAAGTTGTCATCTAAATGTTCCTGAGACAAGAATCCGTATATTAACAAAATTTTTGGATCGTAAGGTCCGCACAACATATTTGAATAGAGATTTAGAAAAGAAAACTTTTCTATTCGGAGGTCTCACAAGAAAGGGTGCCAATAAAATTCGCGCCTATGGACCTTTAAGACGTCCTTATAATGTTAGCATCGCTCAACATTTTTATACAAGACATCGAATTCAACTTAAAAATCCGTATCTAAATTGTATTATTGAACGACGATACTGGGATAAAGATCGATTTTATCCCATTGAGCTATTGGAATTTGTTGATGACGAAGATAAACAACAAAGTTTGTCATCTGAATTTGAAGAAAAGCTTAGTATCTCTTCACCACCCGATAGTCCTGAAATAATTATGGATAAAGAATTTGAGGAAGAGATGGAAATGTACAGAGGAGATTTTAGTCAAGATGGTTGGTGAACGCACTTTCAACACACGCACGCTCTCTACACACGCACGCCTATCTCACAGTGAAAAAGATGAAAATTGATAAATTTCATCTTCTTTTTCTTAATTATGTAATTTTACCCCTAAAATTAACTACTCCTTTTCCTTAATTCTAAAATCTACTACTTTGTTTCACTAATTATGTAAAATCACCCCTAAAATCTATGTCTTCATTTTTATAATTTTTTAATATTTTTAAAATTGTATCTTTGTTTTACTAATTATGTAATTTTACCCCTAAAACTTGTAACTCCTATTTATAAATTTTTTCAAAATTGTATTTTAAAATTTTATCACAAATAAAAATTATTTACAAAAAGTGTATTAAAATATTTACAAAATTTTTTACAAAAATAAATAAGATTAAAGAAATAGATAAGATAGAAGTGTGGCTTCGCCATTCGACAGGCATCACCAAACTCAACCAGGGACTTGAGAATTTACTCAAGTCCACTACCACCGATTTTACATGCGAGGATTACCTCACAACATTACGATAGTTGGTATAGAATTTGGGTGCCCATACCCCTGGCTACTTTCCAACTCCTGTTGAATTAAAGCAAGATTCGAGGATGTTTGTCATTAATATGACCAAAATTTAGAACAATAAAATCAGAAGGGCGGACAATGCCTTTTCCGACATAAGGCTTATAAATTTTTGTACGAGACTGAGTAATTATGGACCCATCTTTAATAGATGGTCTAAGAAAATTAGGGTATGAAATTAAAAGGGGAATATTATCACATTTTATAAAATCAAAAACTTGCTTCTTGAAGTTTTCATAGCACAATCCTTGGTTGTTGATCACATCCCAGTTCAGCGTCATCCCACGGACTTTGAGAACGTAGTCAGGTTCATTGTTGGGTGTAGTCTTCTTTTGAAGTTTTAAGCCATATTGTTTGGCCCCTCCAGAGCAATATTCCAAGATGTCGAAATCGGGGTACTCATCTGTGAATTGCCCCAGATGAGGACCAAGGTGAAGAGGACAGTTGTTGACGGGGTGTGAGAAGATTAAAGAATCGGTGTCGGTGTAGAGCAGCTGACACCCAGGTGTTCTGACAACCTTCTGCATGGCATGCAGAAGGTGGATCCTCGCTGCTGAGGTAGTCCAGAGCGAAATGATGACATTTGATGAGTCGTGCTCCTCCACCCAATCCTTCTTTTTGATGTAGTTGATAAGGATAACTTCTTCTGTAAGTTCATCAATTGAATTGATGGTGATTGATGGGTCGTCGCACATCTTAGCCAATTCATTTGGATCATCTGTTATCTTGCATTGTGACAGACCAAAGTTGCGTAGGGAGAATCTTCCCCATAAGTTGTTAAGACACAATTTTGCCTGTGTCCGTTTCCCTTTGTTGGCTACCATCTTTTCCCTCTCAATCTTAATTCCAAACATTTCTAAGCATTCTTCCATAAACTTATCTTCTTTCTGCTTGTCCCCTTTGATGGAGTTGTCGAATCCTGAAGAGTGAATTTTTTGGGCCATAAATTCACTGATGTAAGGCCTGAAGAGTTTGTCGTCGTAGTTTTTGAACTCCAGAACCCTGAAAAGTTTGGTGACAATATAACCCTCTTTGAGGGCTTCGTTCAGTTCAATGGAGGTGCATGTAGACACCCACCCTCTTTGTTGATCTGAATGGGGACAACAATAAGTTTCTTTGACATCCCCGTGTGGATGCTCTCTTGCACATGTAGAACACAAGGGGAAAAGTAGTCGTTCATCTTCATCTTCCCCAATCTTCATAGGTAGGACTGGAACATCGATTTTTCTTGGCGGAATAATAAACAATTTTAGAAGTGAAAGGTTAAAAGTGTTGTCCTCAGGCTTAGTCCAGTTGACATCTTTGTTGACCACGTGCACTTCAGGATGTCCAACAGGGTACCGCGTTGAAACGTTGATA